CAGGGGCCGCCTTCAGTGTGTGCTGAGAGGGAGGGCAAGGGCCCGGCCCCAGCCGTACAAGTCACCCCCAGAGTGTGCGGGGAGGCAGCAGGTCCCGGACGGGGTGATCAGCCACCCCACACCCTGTCCCTCATCCGGCTCAGGGCTGGCGCTCCAGGGGCCGAGCACCACCGAGGGGCCGGGTGAGGAGCTCCCCGAGGCCTCCAGGGGCAGCTGGGCTCCCTCAGTGTGAACGAGACCCAGTGCCCAGGCTCGGGGGACGGGGGCAGACAGCTGGGCAGCTCCACGCTGTCCTCACATGAGAAGGACCCGTGTCGCCCGGCCGGCATGGCTCAGTGGTTGAGCGTCGACCTATGAACCAGGAGGTCGAGGTTCGATTCCTGGTCAGGGCACAGGCCTGGGTCGTGGGCTCGATCCCCACTGGGGGCATACGGGAGGCAGCCGGTGGATGATTCTCTCTCATCACTGATGTTTCTCTCTCTCTCTCCTTTCCTCTCTGAAATGGAAATAAATAAATACGTGAAGGACCTGTGCCTGTCCCAGCTCTGCCCTCCCCTCTCTGAGCCACACAGGCCCCTGCTTCTGCGAGCGGAAGGGTGGTGTGCACTGGCCCCCATGCAGGCAGCGGTGGCCGTGGGCTCACCTGGCCCAGGGGGCGTGCTCAGCGAGGGACAGCGATTGCTGTCACCTCAGCGCGCGGGGCTGGCTGTTCTCTGGGGAGACAGTGCCCAGACAGCAAAATTGTGAGCTGCAGGGGTGACCCCCAGAAAGGGCCCCACCTGGACCCCTGACTGCTCCCCCCCTCCCGCACAGAGCGTGTGACCGAAGGAGCGCCCCCAGGCGGGCATGGGAGCGGCCGTGAGGGAGGGAGGGAGGGAGGGAGGGAGTGGGGGGAGGTCTCTAGCACAGCTCTGGCCCCGCTTGGGCAGGTGAGCTGCTGGGACTGGTCTCCCGTCCCTGGCCCTCCCCCCACACCCCCCTCCCCCGTTGCGCCAGAGGTGCCCGGTCAGTGTTGGCATCGGCGTGTGTGCGTGACATGAGGGTGTTTGGGAGCATTTGCCAGGGATGCGTGTACACTCTGTACCCCAACGCCTGTGTTTAACGGACATGCGGAGGGGTCCCTGAGCCTGGCGTGTGTGTGAGCAGGCGTTTGCGTGTGCCCTGGGTGTGCCAAGCAGTGTGTGGCGCATGCGTGCGTGTGTCTGCGGCGTTGCGTGGGGGCAGGTGGTGTGAGTGTGCAATGAGTGTGCCCTGCGACGTGAGCTGGTGTGAGTCCCTGCCCCCTGCAGACGCGGGTGTGTAGGAGGCAGGGTCCAGAGGCGGCCCTGCTCTTACATAAAGGGCTGCAGTGCGGCG